AAACTCAGAAGTAATGGTTCGATTTATGAAAGAATTTAGTAGAACTGAACGCGAGACAGGTACTAGTTTTCAAATACATAAGCTTTGGCATTTCCATTTTTATTAACCTTATTTTGCATACTTAAGCTTCCATAACACAGGCAAAAGCTTACCAGAACACCATATTTGAAAGTGTTGATGTGGAATATTTTCTCAGCAAGAATAATACTTACCTTGGTTCCTTTAGGCCAAATGGAACAGTTAATACTTATCTGCGAAAATATAGTGTACCAACTGATACAGAAGATAAAGTCCAGGAATGGTTTAATAGACTGATGGAGAATCTCCCAAAATTTTCAAAGGGCATCGCTATAATAATAAGAGATACACACACTAATGTATACCTTAGTGGATATAAACCAGATATTAATATCAGTGTCTTTATGGAAGACGATATTATAAACAATGCATATCTTACCATGTATGTACAAATGCTTTTGGAGGTGAAAAAGGGGAAGAGTTTCTCTCATTTGCTTGATGAAGACAAGGGTCAGTTGTTGAATTATATTTGTATCCTTATCCTATTATGACTCTCTCAATGTCAGAACATCCACAAAAAAAACAAAAGTGAGCTACAGTCAATGATTCCCTCTGTAGGGAAATATGTCAATATGTGAAAAGCCATCATGGCATAAAACATCATGATATTGTCACTTATTTTAATAATAAATATCCAGAACTTAATATTAATATTGCCCACCCAACTGTTTCGAAGATAGTAAAAGATAGTGCAAAATGGTTGAAGGTCGAGAAATTGAAGCCAGGATAATTGAAGATGCTGAAGAGGAATTGGAATAATCCCCTCCAACTTTAGTTACAATCATTGAAGCATATGAAGCATTGCAAAAGGTCATGAGATTTGAAGAGCAGTTGAAAGAGGAAAACTCTACGTGGGCGGTTCAAAAAGTTTTGACACAGAGGCTATCAAAATTTTATTTACATAATAAACATCAATCTAACTATTCTATTCTTT